GTGGCACGCAACAGTTTCTTCAGCGCCAGATGATATCTACATTCGCTCAGTTCTTGAGTTTGCGCTTGGGACAAAGGTGGGCCATCATATCTTCGCAGATTCTCCAAGCGCGCGCCAACTTGTGATGAAGAGAGGAGTTGGAAAGGTGAGGAAAGTTGGCAGGGATTCAGAACAGGAAAGACTTCAATATGGTGCAAGCGCCAACAGACAGCAACATGGCAGACATCAATACAAAGCCGCTTGGAGGACAAAGAATCAGACACACAGATACTTGATGCACCTCATCGGGTATTGACGCAGTGAAGAGCAAACAAAGAGTAGGTGAGCGTGAGAGAAAGGTGTGTGTATGAGGAGAAAAAGAACTTTGCGCGAAAGGTCAACAAGATTGCCAAGATGATTGTGAGATTGGTAGCGTTTGAGGGCTTGCAGCCAATGGTTACAGAAGCATTCATGAAAGAACATGTAGACAACCAGTGTGGATTGGAAAAAGTGGAAGAATCCAATGAAAGCTGGAAAGCTGGACAAATTTGACCATTGTGGTCATCGCAGCAGTGACCTTTTGCTATGAAACGCGATGGGAACTACCCGTTTCAGAACAGATGAAGCAGAATTCAGAATGGTAGAGCTTGAGAGTATGATCAGAGAGAATGAAGAAAATTGAAGAAGAATAAACACCCTCTTTAACTATGCCAGGAGAATTCATTGCGGATTGATTCTCAATGGAGGCTTTGTGGAGCGACAAGTACCAGATCTCCAAATTGTAATCAGTTATGATGTATTGGGTGAGATGAATGCATCAAACTTCTTGGCCAGAAGGAGCTTGGAAGATATGAGAGCAACAGCAGGCCAATTTCAGGATCATCATGTGATGTTGCAGGCAGCCTTGGATGGAGCAACTCCATCAGAAGGACCATTAAACAGAAGATTCAATACAGGAAATAGAGAACAATTGAACACAGTAGAATATGTGGTAGGGCAAGCAATGCAAATGTGCGGTCGACTTGAAACAAAGATTGAGCAACTAAGTGAAAAACATTGGGACCTACTAGGAAGAGGACTACAAGATGTAGCAGATCAAGTTGAAAGTGAGAAGGAGAAGTATGAAGAGTTTGCTAGAATGTACAGTAATGAGAAGAGACCATCCAGATAGACCCGCGCCAAGGACCTCAAGGAACCCCGTTCTTCTAAAGGAAAAAAATAGTTTTTGAGAGAACACATGGAAATTTATGGTGGCAGAGTGAGCTAGAAAAAAGATTCGACACTACCAGGAAGGAGTGTGTAGTAACTTCAATGCAGATCACAAAATGCACTCGCAGCCTTTTTTGTGTCAAGGGACAAATTCGCAACTTTGTGCATTACGAACTGCATACCAATGAGTCAATGAATGATAAAAGAACCAACACCAAAACGGTCCATACAATTTTCTTGTCTTCATTATCAAAGCTCTCTTCTGTCACGGGGTTCACGCCACACTTCTCCATTGCTTGAGTTGGCTGTGCTGCATCTCCCAAACATTTTGTCTCTGTCTCACCTTGTTCAAGCTCTCGACGATGAACATGTTTGTACGAGTGCCTTCTGCGGCAATAACGCGGATGCTTTTTCTCCTCAACAAACTATTCCACATCCCGGCAATTGGCACACATGATCTGGTATCTCTTCTGCTTCCAAAACTTCTCCATGAAACAACACCTTTGCTGCATTGTCACGCTCTTGCTCCTTTGCTGCTTTTGCCTCATTACCTTCTTCAGGTCAAGGCACGAACTCCTTTATTGAAATTGTGGGCAAAGGCATATTTTGCAGTCGGCTTGGTTGAACCATCTGCAACCTGCTGAGTGGAATTCACCCATCGGAGATAGCCAAACATGGCATTCAGCCTCTCCTTCACGATGTAGACTTCTATAGCTGTCCGTTTGTCTGTGACTCGAAGTGCAGAGACCGACCTTGCAGCATCAAACAGCGACTTGGCATCCGTCGTGTAGCGCCGAACTTCAATGCAAAGTCTCCATGGATAGAGCTTGTCGGAGAGACCATTGCTGCAAAAGGTTTTCACCATTCCACTTCATCTATTGCCCCAGCTGCTGATTGTGCTTCTGCTGAAAGTGACGACCGGCACATACGTGTCAGCTTCCTTGATTGCTAACAGGATCGTAAGAGGAAGTGGTTTTCCATGGTTTTCCACTTTGCAACTCCTCATTTGTTGTGGCAAAGATGACATAGCCACCTTCGGAAGCTCCGTCTGGCCTGATTCCCCAAGACACGTCAACATACACGCCAAAGCGGACATCTTCGAGACCTTCTCCATGCTTTCTCAGGGTCATGCTCTATCCTTGAGCCACCTCCTTTGTGAACCCCAGAAGCTTTGCCACATTGATATCATTGATGGTAGGGCTGCTAGACGATGCCTGTAGCAGTGAAATGCTGGCAGACAGCTGAGGCAGACATTGACCGGCTACATGCTTCATCCTTTTGGGCAAAGTCCTATGCCTGACAAAGTACGAGGTCATGTCTGCATTCTTCATCCTCTCAAACTCTGCAAAGAACTCATACCTTGATGGGGCCTCCACTTGTTACTTGTACTGATAAAGGTTGTCCAGGATGTCTTACACAAAGGAAAAAGGTTTGCTGCTTCGTACCAGTGACTCTCAAAAAACTCAACACGGCGTCGAACACTCCTGTATGTCTTTTGTCCGAGCTTGAGGCTGTTTATACTTGGGCATGCCTTTGAAAGACTTGAGTCTAAACCTTGGTATCCTGATTTAGCTGCGCTCTCTGCTGTCTCTGTTCTCTCGTCGAATCTCCCCTAAGGTCCTATGGAAAGTCTTGCTCCCTAGGCGTCCTCCCTCTGCGTTGTGTTCTTCTTTGTGGTGAACTTCGTTCTACACCTTCTGCCAAACCTGCCATCTTTCTGCTTGCCGTACTCGATTTGTGAGATGGTGCCTATGAGGTCCTTTCACAGGAAAACAAAGACAGCTTCAAACACGCAGTCTCAGCGTCCAAATTCGCAGAGTGGTCTGGTCAGTCGCCAGCTCCGCGACCAGTCTCAACAAAGGGTCGATGTAGAGCACACAAAGTCTCCTCCCTTCAAGCTGGAAACATGCACCTTTATCATGTCGCCGCACGCCGCGCAACGGTGGTACTCAAGGGCCCTCATTTGAGCTCCAAATATGATGGACAATACGAACCTGACAAAGATTCATTGAAATGCGCACGCACATTGACAAGACCCCTCGATTTTTCAGGGCGTCCAAGTTATATCGAACAAGCCCTTCAATGTTCTTTTTCCAATATTATACTTCTTTCATCCATCCAGTGCATGGTACTTGTCATCTCTGGGCCATCATGGATACTGTATTTTTTAAACAATTGGACACCCTTGAAATTGTACAGTGTTCACGGGTCCCAACCTATATCCGACAGCGCATGCAAATGTGGTACTGTTCACCTCTAGGTCACATATCGATCATGCATAGTCATAGTTTATTGTAATCAGTCTGTCTTCCGACCTAGGACCTAGAGGCGACAAGTATCATGCAGTGGATGAATTTCTGAATGAAATCAATATAGGGAAGTGTCAGATTTGCATTGTTGGATACAAGTTGGGATCCTGAACAAGGTACAATTTCAAGCGGTTGAGAAAACAGAGTGACTATATATATAATAAAGGTTTACAATATGAATGATGACATAGAGATGCACAGGCCCATGCAGTGGATGAATGAAAGAAGTGTATGGGAAATAAGAAATCAGTGGGCATTGTTTGATTCAAGTTGGACGCCCTGAAAAAGGTACATTTTCAACTTGGACGAACAGTGGAATGATTTCAATAAACTATACAACATGCATGATGACCTAGAGATGACAAGCACCATGCAGTGGATGAATTTCATTAGTGTCTCATTATTGCATCGTTTGCGTCACCAAACCTATGAAAGGCGTACTAACGATTCCTTTCAACAGCCTGGACCATTTCTCAGTGCAAGCATACCACTCGATGGCGCTTTAGTAGCTCAGTGTTCGCACCCCAGCAAAATACCCCTCAGCACCTTGGTTGCAGGCGGATTTCATAATTGTTTTCCATTCCAATTTGCCTGTTAATGGGGGACACTGCCGAGTTCGCACATCCACACAACAGGTCAACATGAAAGCTTAGGGGGAGTGCTTTTCCTGATGTGACAAGCTTTGGCGCCGTGACTGGCCGTGGGTCCTGTTTCAAATTTGCTGCATCCAGCTTGCAAATTTTGTTGCAATTGATGTTCATGGGGATGCTGACACTGCCAATGCGCAAGATTGGATGCTGAACATTCGTGCTAATGGATCACTGCATTTGCAGTTTGTCCTGTGGAATCCACAAGACTGGGTCGCTTTGCAAAGCGCTATCAAAGATAGGTCTAGTCAAACTTGGAGGGACTGCTCACCTGTAAGAGCCATGAGGCCATGGTAGCAGTATCTTCGATTTCGACTGGAAAATTGTGTGGCTAAAGCACCCAGAAGTCTTTACAATGTCAGCTTTTAGTATTTCCAAAGCAAAGATAGATCTTCATGCAGTCGAAGTTGCTTTGTGATTCTGTCTTTGGAACGAGGGCGCGCTCCGCGATTGCAACACGTGTCTCAAGTCTGGAATCTACTCGTAAGTGATTGACTGCGCTCCGGACACTTGATACAGTATTACTAGTGCATCGGGCACACCGAGAATGATTTAGGACAGTTGTACAGAATTCAGAGAGACGGCTGATAATGGCAAAGAGCTTGAAACAGGTTGAGCCTCAATGTATCAAGGCTTCAAAATGACTCCCTCAAAGCCTTTGCACCTACATACCTTTGGGTTAGGTGCCATAACCCCTCACAGCATGGGTCAGCACACATTTAATTATTGCGTTTTGACTGAGAGCACGTTTTGGAAAAACAACTAGCAGACTAGCAAGAACTTGAAGTGTGTGACTCCGGCGGGTGCCAAATTTAGAACTAGCCAGCTCCACTGTCTGCCATTAAGAGTTGGATCTCACCCGCAAACCGCCGGAGTTGAGGTCTTTCCTCTTTTCTCTGGTCTCACTTTCATTTTAGATGCGTCCTCGCCTGAAGATCTTGGAGAATGAACCACGAGGCTTTGGCTGACCTTGCTTCTAATGATTATTGCATGCAGTTTTGGTGCAATTGCAAGCGAGATTCAATGCATGCAGCAAAGAATCTCCTCAAATGCCTTTGCGGCAGGGCGACCACCTCGCGGTGGAAAGGGCACCCTCCAAGCGACAGGAACGACGGTCGCAGGAGGCACCAACAGACACAGTGCTCAAGTAGCAGCAAATTTTATTTCAATGAAAAGACAAAAGTGGCACGAGTTCTTTGCATACATTGAATTCCAACTCATTCGACCAATTGCTTGCACTTGCACCTTTCCTTGAAGAACATGCAAAATCTGTTCAGTTGTTGGTGTTCGAGAATTGTGCCAGGTTTGGGCGGACAACCTGGCAGAAGAAATGGCTAGGACTGCTCATTATGAAGTAGCTTAAAAACACACAGAATATGCATGAACATTTCAAAATGCTCACTGCTTGAAGTTTTGTACCTCAGGATGGTTGATGTTGCCGAGAACTTTCTGTACGTGGCATTGGACACGCAGGCAATGATGCGATGGATATCTTTCTGCGTGCTTTGTGAAAGAAAAACAAGCGATCTTGTCAGGTTTTCGCTGTAACCATCAACATAGCACCTTAAGCACCAACAGATCTAGACCTGGAGCGCTTGACATTTGTTCTGTTTGTTGCTCTTAATGTTTCTAGGTTTAGTTTGCTCCCTCCCGCCCAGTTTGGGGGCCTTGTTCTACAGCCAAAAGGGCCGTTCACCTCCTTGTCGGAGTGAGCCTTTGCGGTGGCGTGAAGACCTGATCAGGAAGGAAAGATTAGATGACTTACTAGTAGCTTCTTGCTCCTAGTAGCGATGCCCTTTGTTGCTAGTAACTAGTAGCTTCTTGTTACTGTGCAGGATACGAAACATGACACGGACAGCAGACGCAGAACTCGATGCACGGGAGGTACCACTGGCAAACTTTGAAGGCCAATGTGGACCTGACAAAGGCAGCTTGTTTGTTTGCTGTGAATTGGCGCAGACTGGCTGTTGATATATGGTGTATGAAAATGTATTCATGTCACTGTATATGCATGGGTGCTCGATGACTGAGAGCACCAGGTAATTGCGACTTCACCCACATATCCATGCGACTTCACCCACATACCATTAACCTGACTTCTATTGTAAAAGCGAGTGCTTCGAGACACTTGTGTCTACATGAAAACAGAATATAGTTTTGCTTGGCGCAAGCACGTATGTAAAATACTTGTTGCAGTTTAGGTAGGAAGGGCGTCTATATTTTCTTGGGGTGGTTTGACAAGTAGGGGTTTCATTTCTTGGGGGCTTGGTTCTGATTTGTCATTTTGTTCCCCAGATAGCGAAGCTATGGGGTTCTTACTTCAAATAACAATGAGTTGCCCGTGCGCGCTTTCGAGACAGGTTGCTGGTGCCGGTGCTGGTGCTGTGAGCTGGCTGTGCACGCGGTGGAGACAGGTTGCTGGTGCCGGTGCTGGTGCTGGGTGCTGGGTGCCGGTGCTGGTGCTGGTGCTGTGAGCTGGCTGTGC